AGATAAGCAGGGCTTGGCTCTTCTCTGACAAAACGGGAGCAGAAGAAAAACAGCTGCTCTGGGCAGCCTGCCAGACTCGGGCGGCCGTATTTATCTTTCCTCCGTGTTTTTGAGCCCGTGCAGTTTTTTGGGGCCGTGGGGGGGGGCAGGGGGGGCGTGTGGTTGTGGGGAGGCAGCGCCAGGTTTGCTTTCGGTGTTGCTGGGCTGTGGATCTGGGAATGGGGAAGGTGGGGGCAGCATGGGTGGCGGGGGCAGCAAAGGGCGGTGTGACTCCGGAGAGGGCAGCCTGGGTGGCAGCGGGCCCGGAGGCCTCGTCCTGCGGGGGAGGCTGAGCCCCTGGGGTGTTGAGCCCTGGGGAAAAGAGGCAGGAGAGCCGTTTCATGCCGGCTAAAGGAGGGCTGTCATTTTGCGGGGGCCCACAGGTGGTATCTCGGCGCAGAGCAGGAGAGCCGGGGGCCCCGTGGGGCAGAGCAGTGGGGCTGGGCTGGGCTGGGCCGGGCCGGGCCGGGCCGGGAGCCCCTGCTCAGGCGTCGATGCCGCTTTCGGGCACCGCCCCTGCTCTGGGCACCTCAGATGCCCCCCATCTGCAAGGCTAAGCTGCGGTCGGCCCCAGAGGGGGCATGCGAGGGGCAGAGCCGAGCGGGGCAGCCCCAGGTGGCCAGGGGGTCACTGCGGCTCAGCCCTGCCGCAGCGAGGCATCGATAATGAGCAGCAGTGCAGCTAATCAGACCGGTGCAAGCGGCAAGGAGGCGTCATCGCCGATCCAGAGTGCCTTCGCCTGCGAGAGCGGGGCGGCTTGCGATTGTTTTCCAGGGAAAGGGGGGCGCGTCCACGGAATAGTTCGGGGGAGGCAGCAAGGGATCCGATCCGCGTGCCGGTGGACCACCCCGTTCTCCTCACTCCGCCGCCACGAGGCAGCGCCGGGCACGTTCCTCGCACTGGGGGTCGAGTGGAGCAGCCGCGCTCCGCTTCTCCCAAAAGCGACTCTTCCCATTGATCCCGGCTCGCCTCGCATTCCGTCCACAGAATGATTTTATGATTGCGGCAGTTTGGAAACCAAGAGGAGCCGGGGGGGGCGCGGGGGGGGACGTGGCGGTGGTGGGGAAGTCATTAATGGGCTTGCGAAGGCTTTGGAGGGAGAGTTCGCACCCGCGAAAGGGAGCGATAAACCCGCCCGGCACTGCGGCGTGCCACGCTCTGATTCCGGCAGCCGCGCTTGCCTCGCGAGCTCCCCATCTCCCCGTTAGTCTGGCGGATTAATTGGCCACGCTCAGAGATGCCTGGATCAACCAAACATATTTAAATCAGACACACTGCCTGATTTGCATCCCACGGAGTCGGGAGCAGCCAGCGAATAAACACCAGCTGTTTGAAGTTGGAGGCCGCGCGCCAGGAAGGCAGGGGTGCTCCGCGGCCCCCTTTCCGGGGAAAGCCGCGTGCCGGGCCGGCCCCGCCACTGGCCGAGCCCCTGTGATGTCACGGAAGGCCCTCGCCGCCGCCTGCGAGCCCCCTGGGCCTGCCGGCTGGCTTCTGCAGGGGCGGGCACCTCATTCATCCCCGCATGAGTGGCCCCACTGGACCCCCCCCCCGCCCCACTGGCGCTCCAGCAAAGAGGGGCAGCCTGCCGAAGGAGGCAGAGCTTTGCGAAGGGAAGCGGCTGCAGCTGCTTCATCCGGGGCTTGAACCGCAGGCTGCCAAACGGCGTACCTGGGCCCCCCACCTGGCCAGGCCCCTTTCTGCTGACTGCCTGGCATGGGGGGCAGTTGCCGGCTTTAGTGCCGGTCCCCCCTCTGGAGAAGCTGCGCTTCCTGCAGGAAGAACATTCGGTCGACATCTGCTGGGTTTCCGCATCCCTGTTTCAGCAGAACAGTTCCCGGTCCCGGCATTCGATGGCTGGGTGGGGCGATGCAAAATAGCCCCCAGGGGTGTCTGGAACGCGCCGTGTTTTGTTGCGCAGACAATTAGGGCTGCTCCGACGGGCCAGCACGCGGGACCCTCGGACCCTTTCCAGCGCCATCTGGGTGGCTGATCGTTGCCCTCTCTCGCGCAGACGAAGCCCGTCCTGTAACTGCGTCGTGTGAAGATGGCATCCTGCCTTCCCCGCCCGTCAGCTCCTTGGGAGGACTGGGGGGCCTGGGATTGCAGTCCGGCACACCTGGCCGCCGCTAGCAAGGCCTTCGCCAGGAATCCCGCTCTGGCTGAGGCCTGAGCGCCCCACAACTCATGACGCGGCTGAGGAGCCACCTCCGGCTGATGGCTCGTGGCGCGCGCAGTCCTGCTGAGCTCGGGGAAGCCCAAGGCCGTGGCTCGCTTTGTGGGGCCAGACCTTCTCGCTCAGCACCCTGTTTGCTTTGGGCCCGCCCGCTGCAGCGGCTTGCGGGGGCAGCGTCAGACAGGTGCGCATCCCTCGAAAGGCGGGCCGCTCGGATGTGGTGGCGCAACACGGCCCTGTGCCCATGCGCACCCCGGCCTCTCGCTCCCACCCTTCGCGTGGGATCCCAGCCCCGGCAAGAGCTGCAGGAACGCCGAGTGGGCGCCTCACTGGGCCACGGAGCTCCACCTGGCCTTGCCCCTAACCGCGGTCCGTGCCTTGGCGTTCCCGCCCCGGAGCAGCTTCCCGCCTCGCCCTGCCCTTCCTCCTCCTTGCAGTAACACAATTACTTAGCCTTCTGAGGAGCTGTCAGTGTTGGTAAACTCCAGCTGCTAAGCTGCATTACACAGATCTCTCCTTAAAACCTTCTGCAGTTTATTAATAGTTTATTGATCCCAAAGCCCCGTCGACGGTGGAGAAGAAGCGCTGCTCCGTCCCGCTGCCATCAGTGCTGGTTATCTGAATACTGCCTACTAACCAGACAGTCAATCGATGGCACTCAATTCCCAGGGAAAAATGCTCTCCTGCCCTGCTTAATCCACTTAAAGGAGAGGCAGCCCAGCAGGGAGCAAGGAGCAAAGCCTGCCCAGCACAGTCCAGCCAAGCTGGCCGCTCACATCAGCAAGGGCGACCCCTCAAACTCGGGGCGTGGGACCGCCCACCGGGGTGCAGCTGTAGGAACACCCCACGTCTCCCAAAAAGGGCAAAACCGAGCAGACGGAAAGTTTTCCAGCTCAGCGTCCCCAGAACGGCCTTGCCTTGCCCTGCCCGTTTCCTTTCTTGTTGCTATCGCAGTTTGAAATGTACACTATTTCCGGTCCCGAGCCTGCTCGATTTCCTTGAGAGCCTCTCGCGAGGAAGGGCCACTTCCAGAGTTCAAGCAGAGTGACCAGCAGCAGCGTCACTGGAAGTTGTGCCTTGCTGGCATGTTCTCCGCAGCTGCGACTTCGTCGGGGCGTCTTCTGTGCCGAAGAAGAGTTGGGCCTGCCCGCCCGATTCTTGGCAAAGAGCAGCGCTGCTGGAACCTTTTACGGGGCATCTCTGTTGGGAATGTAAAGGCTCATTCGTAGCCAATTGCGGCAATAAAAGGTTTGATTGAGACTCCTCTTGGCCAAAAGCTCGTTTAAAAGTTAGCAAACTGAAAGCCATGCTGATTTTCCTCCAGCAGGACTTGTCCTTCGACCTGTTTGGCAATTTTACCCTTAGTAGCGCTTCCCGCGAGTTTTCCCAGAGCACATGTCGAACTGTCCAGTCCCCAGTTTTCTGGCTTCCCTCTTTGGCAAGTGTCTACTTACGGGTGCGTTAAATCTGCTATGGCTGCAGTCTCTACGAGGAATGTGAAGTCTCTGAGTGGATGGACAGATGACCCATCAGGGGTATTTCCAACCCCCATCTAAGGAAATAGATGCTTTGTGCTCCCAGCTAGTTCTAAAAATCTATTGGGGACGGTGCAGGTTCGGGATCAAGGTTCTGGTCCTCCTCCCTCCCATAACTGAACCTTTCCTAATCTTTCTCGACTTTCTTGGCACACCGTCCATCTCCTTCGCCCGCTCCCAGTCCGTGCCAAGGTGCTTCCTGAGTGAAGGAAAGCCGCCCACTTCCGCTCTTCCAGGGGTCGTGCTTTATGAGGCAGCCCTTGGCTGGGGCATAATTGGAGTCCTGTGCTCACCCTTCCCCAGCCTCGGCTCCCTGGGGTGCCAGTTTCCTTTGATTAACTCGCAGCATCAAGCCCCACCAAGCTGGCGCCATCAATCTGCCCTTTCGCTGCCGAGGCGCCTTCATCATCGCTCTCCGCGGAGACTCATTTTTTAGTTCCCGTTCCAAATTGGACTCCACAGTGTGGTCGGGCCACTTTGATTTTCTGTTGCCTTTCCCTCAGTGCCCCCCCCCCCCCAGCATGCTCTCCCTTCCCCTGTTCTTAAACCTGTTTTTAATTTAAAGCTATGTCACTTGATGAATTTAATACTGGAGCAGAGAAATGTCAGGAGCAAGCGCCAGGTGAAGAGAGATCAGTGCGGCCCGTTGCTTAACCCTCGTCGCCAACTTTCAGAGACTTTTCTCTCGAGCGGGGCTTCGCCCTGCCCCTCTCCTCCTCCTCTCCCGCCCTCTGCTTCTGCTCAGAGACTTCAGATGGTTCTCTTCTGGGAGATCACGGCGGGACGTGCAGGCTGCTCAGCAGGAGAGTGTCTGTTTCTGGGATGCGTGTGATCTAGCGAGGGGCCTGAGCTCAGTGGGGGGGCCCTACTTGGCTTCAGGATCCCGGGATGGGGCTCCTCCACCCCCAGGTGGGGCAGGAAGACCCCTGGGAGGGGCTGGAACCCCGCAGAGCTGCCCCCAGGGCGGTTTAGAGGCACCAGGGAGAACCTCGCAGGAGAACAGGACGGTGCCTTTCTCACCGCCTTCGAGGTCCGGCTGCCCCGGTTCTGCTGTTTAACCTTTTGGGTCTCGAAAGCTTGGCTTGCGTGGAAATTGGTGCTCCTGGTTGTTTGTGTCGCTGCACAGCGGCCTGAGTCTGAGGGCAAACACGGGTGGTGGCCGCGGAGTCCGAGGACCCCCAGGAGCCGCCACGGGAGCGGGGGATTTGCACGGTATTTACGCGCCGCGGTCTCTCTCTCTGTCGTCTGTCCAGGCTCCCCGAAGTCCGGATTTCAGACAACGGCCCCTATGAGTGCCACGTGGGTATTTACGACAGAGCGACCCGGGAGAAGGTGGTGCTGGCGTCCGGAAACATCTTCCTCAACGTGATGTGTAAGTGCTTGCGCGAAGGCCCCCTCCAGCACGGGGCGGGGGGCGTTTCGGGCTGTGGGGACGGGCTCAAGGGCCTGCTGTTGGTGGCTCTGCCCCACGCCTTGCTCGGGGCCACCGGGGCGCAAGGCACTCTCCTTGCTCGTGGCTCAGACGTGGGCACAGGTGGTGCGGGACGGTGGGAGCACCCACGGCTGCCCGACCCGGCTGCCCCTCGTTCTCACAGTCCAGGCCGGGGGCGGGAGGCAGCGTTGTCGTTGCTGCCGGTGTCGGGCGTGCGCTGTGCCAGGGCCGGCCGCGGCGTGGAGCAGATGTTGCGATTTAGATTTACCGAGCTGCCGCGTTTCCTGCCCTTGGCAGCATCCCGGGGATTTCCGGAAGGGACCCGGTCCGGCAGCCGCTGGGGCTCACAAGACGGCGGCTGCAGCTTCCTGCCCCAGGCCGCCCCTGACCTGGGCCGGCCGGATCGACCCAAGCCGGCCACCGGCGCTCCTGGGCGGATGGAGGTCGGTGGGAGGCCTCCTGCCCCCACGAGGCCCCACTCGGCCAGCCGCAGCCTTCCTGCCCCGGGTTGCCCTCTGCCCCGGGCATTCGGCTCGCTGTGCATTTGGACCAGAGCCAGCCTCCTGAAATGTGACATAGAACCGATCCAAATCAGCAGAGGCACAGCAGAGCCGTTTGGCTTCGTGCCCCGGCGAACAGGGATCTCCACGTGGCGTCGGAAGCTTGCCAGATTCCGCCTGCAGGGCCACACCGGAGTGGCTGTCTCAGGGGCCGGGTGCCAGCACCGGCCAGGCCCTGCATTTGTGCCAGCAGCCTGACAACAGACTGTCAGTCAAGGAGGGGTGAACTGGCCCTGCCTGGAGGCCCCCGGGGTTGCTGTGCTGGGGTCACCGGCCCTTAGCTCCTAGCCGGGGCTGTTCCCAGCCCTGCGCCTTGTGGGGCCAGGGGGCGGGGGCGGTGAGGCGCTTTGGGCGGGTGAGGAGGCGCCGGTGGCCGTGGGTCCCATCGCCCTCCAGCCCCTTCCCGACGTGAACCGCTACTCAGCCCCAGCCTCCAGATCCGAGTTCAGAGCTTTCCGCCACGTCTTCTGCTGCTCGGGTGACCCATCTCACCTTCACCGGCTCTGGAGAAAAGCCCGTTAAAATGCACAGCAGTCTCCATGGCAACCGCCTGCTGGCCGAGCCACGTTTCCCTTTCCTTCCCATCGTCCCCCGGACCCTCGCCGTTCTCTTCCTCGCCACCGTGGCAGCAAATTCCGCTCGGCGCTGGCCGTCCACGGTGAGGTGCTGCCGGCGCCCCTTCCGTCCGGGTCCGTGGCCGAAGGAAGCTTTTCCCGTGTGAGTGGAGCAAATGCCCGCCCAGGACCCCACCAAAGCAGGGGCCCCATCGCCGCCTCCAGCGCCCACGCCCCGGCTGTGCCGGCCTGGCTCCTGATGGGGGCACGCTTGGGCGTTTGCCCGGGGCCTGGAGTGGAGGGGGCCTGTCCCAGCTTTGTGGCCATTTCTGCTTTGCAGGGAGTGTCCAGCAAGACCCCATGAAAGGGGTCACTCTGCCCCTCACCCTGTGGCCCTCTGGAGATCTCGGCCTTCACGGGTGCAGCCCCTTTCGGAGCCGCTGCAAACGCTGGGGCAAGCTTCAGGCACAGTGACACCCCTGAGCAGACCGAAATCGAGAAATGCGTTGTAAAGCAAGATCCTCTTGCGATGCCGTACCCGTGGGCCCCCCGTTAGCAAGCATGCCAGAGCGCGGGAGTCTTGGCCTCTTCGTCCCGGGGCTTCGCTGGGGACGGGCGGGCAGCCACAGTTTCAGCAAGACGAAACCAAACAAAACCAGAAGCAGGAAAAAGGAACGAAAAGGCCGTTTCACGCCATTTGCATCCTGCGGTTTTCCTCTTGGCAAGAACCCAGGATGGCTCGCGCGGTCTTTCTCCTTCTCCCAGCTTGACCTTCACAACAACCCTGCGAGGTAGCTTAGGCTGAGCGTGAGTGGCTGGCCCCCAGGACACCTGTGATTTCATGGTGACACCTGTGATTTAAGGGAGTGGGGACTAGAACTCAGATCCCCTCAAGGCGCCGGTTCTCCGTAAAATAAAGGGTAATGAAGTAGATTTGACTCGGTCAGATTTAATTAATAGATGTAATGTGTCTCGAAGTGTGTGCGTATGAGAATATAACTTCCTAGAAAAAAAATTAATCGTCAGCACAGGCAGCCCAAACACCCAGGCTCCTGCTTGACACAACTGGCTGTTAATTAGTTATTAGTTTATCTGCCCCAGTCCAGAGCATTTCGTGTCACGGAGCGATAAAAGGAGAACGAAAGCAAGCGAGTGAGCAAGGTGCTTGTTGCTGCTCCTAGATTAGCTAATTCAGTGCAACTTTCTTGGGCCAGGGTACGCCGCCTCGGAGGCATTCAGAATAAGCAGGATCAGTGGGGCGACGAGGCTGTGGAAGATGGGCCCTGTGGCCTTTTGCGCCGCCTGCATTGCACCCCGATGCAGCAGCCGCCGACTTGGGCGACGCTGCCAAGGCACGTCCTGCAGCTCGAGGTCTTCCCACCCCTCTGCTGATAACTTCCTCTTCTCTGCAGATTGGAGGTATGGATGGTCCAGGAACCGTTCGGCCTCTGTACCCCGTATGGCCCGGCTGCTTTCATCCCATCATCTCTCCATTCACTGGCAGCACTGAATTTTGCCAGATCCATTTATAAGCAAATTTGCAAATGCCTGAATATGTGCAGCTCTCTGCAGCCTCGGTAAAGCCTTGAGAAATGCATATTTCCACCTTTTAGCCTGAGTGGAAAACTCACATTTTGGACAGTGGGGCTTTGATGCCTTTCCATGACTACATTAGCATAACATTACGGAATATTTTTAAACCCGGCATCGCGTCGGTGGGTCAGGGGAGTCATGATCAGTTGTTGATTCTTCCGGCTCCCGAGGCGTGTGTATGTGTGCGTAGCATTTTGGGCAAGCGATGCCCAAGGAGGGGGGCTTTGGACCCTCTGAGAGGACCGGGTCACACGAGGGCTGCTTGATGTCGTTTCTGCAGGGCCAGGGGCCGGCGGCGGAAAGGAGAGGCCGGCTGGGGGCACGGCTGCGCTCAGAGGAAGTGGAGCAGCCTTGCGAAAGGAGCGTGTGCCTGAAGCCGGGTTGGCCGCTCGGCGCTGGCGTGCCCGCCAGGCCTTCGGAGCGGTCTTCCCGGGGCCTCTCGCAGGCCCCGCTGGAGGTCGCGGCTGCCCCGCAGGCGTCCGTCCTCCTCCGCAGAGCAGGCCGAACGTACCGATGGGCTTCGAGCGGAGAAGGGGTCATGGGAAGCAGCTGCCCTCGAGCTTCGCTGCCACGAGCACAGTCCGCTTCCGAGAGCTGCGCCATCGTCCTCGGCGCTGGGGCGAAAATGATTTGCCCTTTCTGTGCAGAGCGAGGCCGAGAAGTCGGATTTCTCGGAGAGGCCGCCTCCGATTTTGTGGTGAGGTGCGGCCAGGTTCCGGCGAGGGTGCCGGTCACCTCGCAGTGGGGAAGGAAGGCGTGTCTGCAGAGCTCGGTCGTGGCTGCCGGGGCACATGGTTTGGAGGGGAAGTGTCCGGCGGGGAAAGGCGGAGGCACTTGGCTAGGCTGCGAGATCTGCACCCGGTCAGAGGCGGTGCCAGCCAGCCGCCCGGCCTCCCCGCTCGCCTTCCGCTCCTGGCCTGGCTGCTGGCGGCATTACAGCCTGGGCTGTATGGCAGGACCCGCACCCCGTTCCCGGGAAAGTTTCCCTCTTGGGGCAGAGGAGGAGGCCGGGCTGCTCGCCTTCCCATTTTACGACGGCCACCTCTCCCCAGCGCGGTCCAGAGTGGGTCGGGCCCATCGGAGGTGCTCGATCCGGCTCACGTGCAGCTCAGCTCGCAGGGCGAGGTGGGAACAGAGAGAGAGGCGGCAGGCCGTAATTCAGTGCGGAAGGCGCACGCACTCGTGCCGCAAATCAGGAAACGGCCGTCCCTCGGGCCCGCGGGGGCGTGTGCCTTCGCAGCCCTTTTCTCCTCCTCCGGCGTGTCTTCCTCCCTTGTCATCTCAATCGCCCTCCGGTTTTAAAGTGAGGCCAGCGACCCTCCTCCCCCCCCCGCCCCCAAATAAGATTTTGCGAGCTGTGGCAGCTGGAAAAGAATAATTCATTTCCTAATAGAAAAGCCAGGCATGGGCTGAAGGATGTAATTAACTGAGGCGCTGCTGGGAAAGACCTTCTGTCTCCAAGTGCCCTCATAAATAGAGGGAGCCCGTCTGAAGGGGCCGTTAAAGTCCCACCGTCAGGACCTCGGCATGTCCTTCCTGCGCCTCGGCCTCCCTTTGACTTTGGAAGACGCAGGGAAGAAGCTGCGGGTGGCGAAGGGCCCGGCTCCGGCCAGGGCGAGATCCGGAACCGTTTAGGGGCACCCCCTTGCTTTTAAAGTCGCACAAAGTTTGCACATGTGTGAATGGCGGGAGCGGGGCCGGCATCAACACGACGGGGCCCTTTCAAACTGCACCCCAGCCTGAATGTTGCAGCTGAGTTGCTGGTTCAAGAACTCCACTGCTCTTTCTCTCCGTTTCTCCTGTCCGACGCTTCCGGTTCAAACGTTCCGTTTCAAATTCAGCTCTTCCCAAACTTTGGGAATGATTTTTTTTCTTTAGTAAAAGAGCTAGCTGGAAATAAGTTGGCACTTCCTCTATGACTCACATTCTTTGCACGCAATTGTACTTGGTTTATCTCTATGTTTGGGGAAGACTTTGCAAATTTTTGAACGCTCTTTCCATGCCTCTGTGCATTCGTGTGTGCATTTTTGGATTGGAGCACTCCATTCCAAAATTTAGAGAAGCATTTTCAAGGGTAATTGAGCTCTGGTTGCAACGGAAATGCAAACTTGTCTGTTAATATGTGAATGGAACAAATCCCCCGCCCCCAAATTCTGTGCTCTGGTTCTCTCTTAATTCCGCTGATGTTTAAGTGTAAAAATGGCAAAGTCTCTCCCAGTTTTTGTACAAGGAA